GTCCCTCACCCGCTGCTCCCCGCAGGCAGAGCCCGGCCGAGCCACAGCGAGCCGTGGGGCCGGCATGGACGCCGTGGGGAGGAGGAGGAGGAGGAGGAGGAACTGTGGCACCAGCTGTACCCTGGGCACATCCCCACCAGCCCGCTGCAGAAGGCGCTGCTGGCCACCGGCTCCGCCGTCATGGCGCTCTGTGACCCCTACAGGCACGGTAAGGCCGGCGAGGGGAGCGCCTGCCACCCACCTCCAGCAAATCCCGCTTCCTATCTCCTGGAAGCTTCATAGCAGAGTTTATTTCTCCCTTTGTTGTATGACACCTTTAGTTGTGGGTCAAGCGCAAGGCTGAGAATTRACCCGGGGCAGGAGGCTGTGAAATAGAGGGAGTGAGGAAACCCAAACACACCCCAATAGGACCCCTTGTGATGCCATCCWGACCGGTGTATTTCTCCACAGTCCCCCAGGCCTCATGCCTGCTCCTCCATCTCATTCCCAGGAAGGGTCATGTGGGTGACACCAAGGCAGAGTAGCCCTGAGGCTGAATATCTGTGGTTTATGAGGTCCCACTTTGCCACAGGCTTCTTGCCTGCTTCTRGTCAATGGGTTAATTGCCTTTTTTCCTGACCTGCCAACCAAGGATAGCWGGGTGTTGCGAAAACAGCTCTTGGGTCACTCTCTGGTCTCTTTTTCAGACATGGTGGCAGTTCTTGGGGAGACCACAGGCTGCCTGGCCCTGCCAAACCTGCGAGACAAGATGAAAAACCAYCCTGAAGGTTACCGCATCCTCCAGTGCGTCCCTCCCCATCCCTCCCACCCTCGCTCTGTCATTTGTGGTGGGGAGAGAGACACGAGGCCAAGCATGTTCCTTGGGCCCTGTGAAGGGAGAGCTTGGAAGTGTTTCWTTAGCTCTAGCACTCCAGGCTGTTTATTTCATTTTATTTTTAAAGTTCACAGGAGCCCTGTGACACATCTAAGGGCAGGCACTGCTGCCTGTCTGTTCTGCTTCACTGCTGGAACTGGCAGCTGCCAACACCAGGAGATGCAGCAGCAGGCACAGGGGAGGAATCCATGGATGTGGATGCTGAGCAGCAATGAGAACACACTACATCCATGGATTTCTTCTCTGTGCCTGCTGCTGCATTTTCTTACATCAGAGACTTCGTTTCTGCTGGTCTGCCTCCTCCTCAGACACTTCTATGTTTTCTTTCCTAGCTCCTGCTGAAATGAGGCCACTTCTCTTATTTTCCATATTAAGACTCCATCAGTCTGCTTCCATGTCTGCAAGGACTTGTTGAGCGCAGCTAGGCTGAGGACCAGGAGGAATTTCTCTTACTAACCAAGCTCTCACTGCATATCTACTTGTCTTCTCCCTGTTCCTTGTCATGTGTCACACCTGCTGCTTGTGTCACGTAGGAGCTCAAGTAAAGCTGCTTTTTTCCATATGTTTATGAAGAACAGCCTCATCCAGGCTCGGGAGTTTGACTTGGAAAAACACCCAGAGCACTGGGATGGGGCTGAGAYGCAGCAGAACTGCCCAGAGAGAGGACTGGGGAGGGACATCCCCACCTGCTTCTTGCCCGGTGGTATTGCAGGGATTTGCAGGGGTCTGAATTGGGCACACAAGTCTTTTTGTTTTTATCCTCCAAGCTGCTGAGGTCCCTTTGACAACAAGTGTACAATGAAACATCTGCAGCCAGTGTGAAACTGGTGCCAGTCCTGCTTATCTCCCTGGCACCTCTACTCTAGGAGCTAAGCAGCTCCTGGATCCGCAGCAGGGGTTTTATTGTACCAAGAGTTTACCCTGTGAATGGAAATAAAAGGGCTTTTGTTTACTTCCAAGSCTGTGAAGCACCTGTTTGCCAGCAACCTGGAGACCTTTCCTTGTTTGGCTGCCACGTGGCTGCTAGGGAAAGCCTGAGCAGGATTGAAATTAAGCCTGTGTTTAKAACAAATTCCCTCTCCTCTTTGGGGTTGTTCCTTTGAAGCTCTGGCTGCTTTGCAGGGCCACTAAAGAACTCTGCTGTTGCTGGGGGCTGTGCCTGGCTGGCAATCCACACAGCAGCACTATTTCACTGCAGAGAACACTGGTGTTTTTCCCACCAGAGTTGTTACAAGGCCACAAGTTAAAGGCCTTTTATTGCCAAGGCTTCAGGTAGATCCTTTAAGCAATTCGTGTCCCAGCCTGAGCAGCAGAAACACAGATGGTGCTGTCCCTACAGTGAGCAGTCAGGATCTGCACAGGGAAAATAGCGAGGAAGGGCAGAGGCAGTGGGGGTTTCCAAGGGCTCATTTTCTCCAAAATTCACACCTGTGGGTTTCATTGGGAGTCTGACTGATCTGTGTGTTGCTTTCAGGGAACGGCCTCGCATCCGCCTCTCCACCCTGGACATGGACAGGCTGCAGGGGCTGCCAGATGGCACACTGGGCCGGGAGTACGTCCGGTTCTTGGAGGACAATGTGAGTGTGGGGTTTCATGGGGTGCAGATTTYTGTGGCTGATCCCTGTGCTGGGAGMACAGATGAAATCAGAGCCACRRAGTTGAGTTGGACCTCTTTGGACTTGCAGAAGGTTTCTCCAGACACCCGGATGCCACCCAAGTTTGTTGATAATGAAGAGCTGGCATATGTGATCCAGCGGTACCGGGAAGTTCATGACCTGATGCACACCCTCCTGGGCATGCCAACCAACATGCTGGGTGAGCAGCAGGGGCTACACTGCCAAATCCACCAGGATGGAGCAGGCTGGGCTGGTTGGGTTCCTTGATCCTCAGCCCAGGTTGGTGTGAAGGGWTTTTGCATCATGACTGGCTCTGTGGTGACCGAGAGGCCATGTGCTGTCACCTTTTCCCTGTTGGGAGGTGCTCTGCCCAAGCCCTGGGCATAGGCAGCTGCTGGATGGGTGATTTTTGCCTGGYAGGGAGGGTGGCATGGTGGGAGGGATCTTTTGCAAGCTCTGTGTGAAGGCAGGAGGGAAATCCTGGTTGCTCCTTATCTGCACATCTTTGTGTCCTTTGCCCTCATTTTGTGTCTGACTCAATAGCAAGTCAYAAGTGCAGCCTTGCTGGTACCTGTGGGAACCAGCACGACAGGTCTCCTACGCAGACTTTGCCTGAGCCCAGGCACTTTGCAAAAGACCTGTCCTGTGCCTGAGCCACACGGAGCATCAGACCTTGGTTCAACATTGCCGAGGTCTGCAGGGAGGTGAAACATGTTCCYCAAGCTCCCAGGGCTTGTGGGGTGCCATCTCTCTGGGGTGGTGGTGTGTGACAAGGCTCATCCTGGCGCAGGATGAAGCTGTGGCCAGACTTGGGAAGCGTTCCCAAGTAGCTCTTCAGAAAGAGCAGATGTGCAGCGTGTGTAGAGGGGCCACACAGCCCTGGCCAGCCCTTGATCCATGTGCTCTGCCCGCTCATGCCCTCYCTGCTCTCTCCCAGGTGAGGTTGTGGTGAAGTGGTTTGAAGCCGTCCAGACAGGGCTGCCCATGTGTGTCCTGGGAGCAGCGTTCGGCCCCGTCCGGCTCAGCACACGGTAGGTGCCCTGGGAATAGCCCAGGTGATGCTTTCCCATGGCTGCTGAGGGGACAATGAGGGGACACTGCTGGTTTGCAGGGGGAATCAGTGGGGGATCCCTCGTGTGAGCCCACTGCTGTCCCCACATCCCAAGGAAGCCGTGACAGCTTTGCTTGGTCACTGAAGCAGAACCTGATGCTTAATCTGCATTCAACACCAGCCCCTCTGTGCCAGGCAGGAGCAATTCCCAGGCCTTGGATGGGCATGTGTTGARGGCCAGCAGGACCCTCACCACACTGACAGCTGTTTCCTGCCCTAACTTGTCTGTTTTGGTGGCCCAGCAGTTGCAGAGCTGGAGTTCTGGCCTTGGGTTTCTGCTGACTAACCTTTCTGGCACACCATCCTCTTCTGTGCCTCAGTTTCCCCTGTGAGTTAAGCAGAGGGGATACTAGAAAGTTAGAGGGGTACATGGGATACATGGGCTTGGTATCAGCCTACAGTGGGGACTTGGAGAAGGAAATTAACAAAATGTGGATATCAAAACTGCTACCACCTGTATCATTTGTTCCAGAAAGCTGCAGGTCCTGGCCACYGAGCTGGTTCCCTGGGCGATTCGGAGTGGGCTGAATGCCAGCTGTGTCCTGAACATCTACTACGAGCAGCGCTGGGAGCAGCCAGTGGAGTCCCTGCGGGAGGAGCTTGGCATCTTCCCTCCCCCAGCCGTTCGAGTGTGAGAGCTCATGTCAGGAAGGGCCCAGGGGATCCCTGTTGGCAGCCAGCAGCTGGCCCCTGCTGCACTCCATATCCTCCTGCTCTGCCTGGGAGCACAGCGTGGCTGTGGCTCTGCCACCACAGACCCRAGGGCTGTGTTTTTTGTAGTTTCTCCTGCCAAGAGCTGGCACCAGAGMGGTTGGTAGAGGCCAAGTGGCCTCTCCCTGCACTGTGTCAAAACTGGACCTTTTTTGCTGTTTGTGATTTTGGTTGAGGGATGTCAAGGTCTGATGTGCTTTTGCCAGCTGTGTCTGGCTGCTCTGGTCTCCCAGCAGCAGCAGCATTCTGGTGCTGATGTTCCCAAATGCTGGGATGGGGAGGGAGCACTGCAGCAAACTGGTGCCTTGGCCTTCTGCAGCCATGGGACTGTGCAAGTAAATCCTTCCTCCTACCCTTCCTGGGAAGATTGAGGCTTCAGATCTTGGGGCTGCCCAAGATCTGTGATTTCCAGAGGAGCGCAGGGGCAGGTTTGGTGTGTGCAATGGTGAAATCCCATCTTGTACTGGTGCCTAACCCAGTCTTCTCTTGGGTCATATTGGATGTGCCTCATTCATGYCTCAGACACCAGGCAGTGTGTGATTGTGTGCCCATGGGGCAGGCATGTTTATGGGGCAGGCATACCTTTGGTTATTTCCGTCCTGGATTGGCTGTTTTGAGAGCCGATCCCAGTCTACCATGTCTCCCTGTAGTCCCTCCCCATCATAAATGATGAAATRCACATGATTGTGCTGGGTTTTCAGTAGGAATCATCCCTTCCTTGGGCAACAAAATGACACAGTCAGAATTACAGGGTYGAATCCAGTGAGTGCTGAAACAGTGGCTGCTCGTGCTGTGTCTGGGAGCTGATTGCTGTCTAGGTTAATTAAATTGTGCTCCAGACTGTCAGCAGCCAGGGAGCGGAGGGATCCAGAGTTGCTGGATATGGTGGCAAAGAGCCACGAGGCCACGGGCTCTTTGTACATGTGTGTTTGCTGTTGAATTCCTTCTTGCTTAATAAAATCCACAGTGGAGCTTGTAGTTCATTACCCCTGTTTTTGCCCCATCTCCCCTCCTGAGCTGGAGATCGGATGTGAAACCTCACCCCTTTTTTGCACCAGCAAGTTTCCTTTCTGTCCCTCAGACTCCCTTTTTTTAACTTCTCCCTGCATCATCCACCCCACAAGCCAGACTTTGGGTTTTTCTCCAAAGCCTCCCTTGGCCCCYGGAGTTATTTTAAACACATACTAAAAGACAGCATATAAATACATCCTTCAGCTGCCAGTAAAACACACAGTGTGGGGGTTGTCCTAGTGCAGTGGTCGAGATGAAAGAAACACTTGCCTCTAAAATGACCCAGAAACGTGCTTTTCTGTATCAGAAATGTCAGAGCCTTGGGGTGGATAAACCAAAGGGCAGCMAAGATCTGCTCCCAGRAACTGTGAGCAACAGTCAACRAAATGTGGGAAAGGATGGCCATGAGAGRGGTTTTTTTTTGCATTTTGAGTTATTTAGTGAGGCTGTGAGGTGCCCGGGCTGTCGGTGTTGGTGGTGCCGCCTTCGTGCAGCCACGTGTGGCTCAGTAGGCTGGTGCCACCGCTACAGAAATGGCACATCATGTAATTTTAAACGGCATCTGCTCAGCCGGATCAAGTAACAGTCTCTGTGGCTCCTTTTCCCGCAGCCATTGCTTGAGGAGTCTGCGGAAAGAAGGCGGCAGAGGGTGATTTGGGGAGGGCAGACACCAGCCACGTGAAAATGCTTTTTTTGGAGAGGATATATTCACTGTGGGCAAGCGGCAGCTCCACCATGCCCGTGCTGGCATGCGGTAACCGTAACTCCTGAAATGCTGGGACGGATGCGCCGTTACCGACCCCCGCCCAGGAACGGCTTTTCCCCCCCGCCGCCCCTGGCCCCGCTCCCAAAACGGGTGTCCCCCTCCGCGCTCTCCCGAACACGGGCGGACCCTGCGTGGCTGCAGCACCCGGGGGCGGCCGCGGGTCCCCCCGGCTCGATTCCACCGCGGAGCCCGGAGAGCGATCGCCGCGCTGCGGCGGCAAAATGCGACTCTGGTGGGACTCGAACCCACAACCTTTGAATGACTCCCGTCACACGCTAGAAGTCCAATGCGCTATCCATTGCGCCACAGAGCCCTCGCTCTGCCGCGCCGCCCTCACCGCCTCTTCCCCGCGCCCCGCCCGCGCCGCCGCTCCCCGGCACCGCGCCCGTCACCGCGGGGCCGGGCCGGTGCACCGGGCGGGACTACAGCTCCCGGCGGCCCACGCTGCCCGCCCCTCCCCGCCCCTGCCGCAGAGCCGGGCGGGCCCTGCTCCCGGCCCCGCTCCCGGTGCAGGTGGCCGGGCCGCAGCGGACGCCCCGGAGTCCGGTAAGAGCGCGGCACCGTCCCCCCCACCCCGTTCCGTCTGCTCCCGGCGCCGCCGCGGCGGCCGCGCTCCCTCCCCACGGGCGGCCCCGCGGGCTCCTCATCAGGCGCCGCGGCCCTGCGGGCGGCACCGGGGTCCCTCCGCCCGGCCGGTCCCCGCATGAGGTACCGGGGCTCCTCGTGGGGCACCGCGGCAAGCACCGGGATCCCTCAGCCCCCCGGTCTCCCCACGAGGGCGCCGCGGGCCCTCGCCCCGCCGAGAGCGGCTGTGCTCGGGCGGTTCCGGGGCCTGGCCGGGGGTGGTGGCGGCGCCTGGCTGTGTCCCGGTGCGGGGCCCTCCCGGCCTTTCTGCCCCGCGTGGTGGGGCTGGGGCAGCGCTGCTGGCCCTCCGTGCTGGGGACCCCGGGAGGGTGAGACGGGATCCCTGCCCAGGGCAGGTGGGGAACAGGTGTGCCATTAGCGCTGGGGCTTCTCACAGCCCGGCCAGCTGCCCGTTGTACCCCCGTGACCCGCTCCCCGGCCCTCCTCGGGCTCGGTGCTCTCTGGGAGGATCCCCGCGCTTTGCCTCGCTGCCTGCTGGCCGTGAGCTACAGGCAGGGTTTCGTTTTCTCTGTGTGATGCAGCTGGACAAGACCTGCATGTGTAACGCAGGGCTGGAGGTCTCTGGCAGTGACACACCGGGTATCTCTCGGGGATCTCTGCCCGGGTATCTCTGCAGAAGGCACCGGGCTGCCGGAGTGAGGTGGAGATGTGAGCAGAGGATAACAGGGGCTTGCCTGAGCCTGCCTTGCCTTCGAGCGGGAGATTAGGCACTTTGCTGCCCACACAAGAGTGGGGCTCCCCTGCTGCCACCTCTCCACATCTGGCTGGTGTGAGCCTGTRAGGAGCAGCCCAGGTCTCGGCTGAGGCATTGTAGTTTGAGGGTCATCTAAAAGTTGCCCTGTTTAAGTGCAGAAGAGGCTCCCAGGCAAACTCACAGTGAGTCCCACTCTGCTAAAAGTCAGAGGGTCTGTTGTGGGACATCATGTCTGGGAGRTAGGTGTTTGCTGGAGAGTGTTCAGAGGTCACTGGCACAAGGGAGGATYGCAGGATAAGGGCTGTGAGTGGGAAAATGTCTCCAGGTGCCCACCTGGGAGTGGCATCTTGTGCTCTGGTGCATCCCAGCCTGCTGCTGGTGGCACAGCTCACAGGTGGGACAGCCAGTGTGACATGCCATGCCACAGGGACCATGTGGCACTGCCTTGGCTYCCACCCTGCCAGCACCTGGTATCAAAGCCACAGAGGCTCCTTAGRCCTGGGGGGACTGCACAGAGCAGAGGGAAAGCCACAAGCATGCCACCAACTGTAGAAGAGCCCATGTGGGGCTTCCAGCTTCAGAGCAGTGAATCAATCTTCAAGAGGGAAATGATGCAARTGTTTCCTTCCTCTTTGGCCTGTGTCCATGCCGGGAAGGGCCAGTTTTATCTAGGAGCTGTGAGGGTCACATCGCTGTCATTTTCCTTTTCCCAGTGTTGTGGTCTGAAAAGAGCCATTGCTAGATCATGKTCTCTGAGTCTCAGAGCCACTTGTGGGGTGTGTCTGGGATGGGGACAAGAGATGCTGTTTTGCAGGGACAAGTACCAGAGACTGAGTCACTGTCCCCAGGGAATGGGGCAGGGGTCTGGGCACTATTGGCAGCAGTGCTGCCCTTGTTCTGCCCACTCCAGCCTGGCCTCATCCCTGACCTGCTCCGGCGGTGTCTCCAGCCTAGCCAGGCCAGGAAGCTGCCTGCCAACACGAGGGTTTGCAAACACAAGCAGAGCTCAAAGGACTGAGTTTCCTGTCCCTGCTCCTGTGTGAGCTGTGTCACGGAGCGCATGAAGCTGTGCTTTCCCAACAGCCATGCTGGCTGTCCTGGAGCCAGGCATGCAGGAGAGCTTATGCTTAGGGCCTGGGAGACTCTGGATTTTGAGGATGGAGGGGTCTCTAAGGTAGAGAGGAATTTGGAGCTGGACTTTGCCAATCTGCAATTAAGGAGCTGAACCAGCCCTGCCTGGCATTACCCTGGAGGCTTCTAATCATCTGTGCAAAGTCTCCTGCCACGACTCTGCTTCCACATCCATGGAAGTGACTTTAYCTTGCATCTCATGTTGCTGGGGCGTGGCTGTATCCCTGGCTGAGGTGCAGGATGTGGCACCAAGCAGTGCCGTGCTGATGGCTCAATTGGAGGCCATCTCCAAGGTCAGATAATGTTACATCTGTGGGAGCTCTGGGCTGCTGGGTTACATCCTCASTGCCAGGAGGACTGATGACTCAGGGACCTCATCCAGGAAGCTGGGGGCTGCTCAGGTATCCCCCATCCCGGGGGTTGTTATCACCAAGTGCAGTGTGCGTGGGTTGATGGCCATGGTTTCTGTCTCCCCACAGGCCACGATGCTGCGTTTCACTGCTTTTGCAGCTGTGCTGCTGTTCTTCAGGCTCACTCTAGAACTGTCCTGGGCCCARGCCATCCCTGCTCTCTTCATCGTCTACCTGGGATCTGGCGGATGGGACTTCTTCCTCATATTTGTCAAGACAATACGAAGGGAYGTCACGTAGGTGTCTCTTAGGTGCCCAACCAGCCACCCTCCCCCTGGTGGCCCTCTTTCTGCCCTGCTATGTGTATGTGTGAGCACAGCCCCTCATTCCTTGCGCAGCTCTGGGTTTCYGCTGGCACCTGGCCCAGCTGGAAGGAGATCTCCCTCTGCTGTGTCCGGGTGACTCCAAACTCTCGGGCAAAGTTTTCCTGAGAAGGCTAGATTTCAGCTGAGCTCAAAGTCTGTTGACTGTCCTTGTACTTCACCCTGTCCCTAAAGCTGCTGGCGTGGCACCAGGCTCCTGTGCAGGGTTCATTCTGAGTTGGTACCAGGCTGTGCCAGCCCCTGGCAAGGATTTGTGGGGGAGGGMGTGGTGGTACCTCTTGGAGAGCACCCAGTGCTCAAAAAAGCCCCTTTGATCGGGGACATCCCTGTCTACAGACTGCCAAAACACATCTCTCCCTGGCCTCCATCAGTCCCTGGCTATGAGCATCTTTGCAGATGAGCTGTGCCTATGTCCACACTGCCCAAGGGWGCACCCAGAGCTGCTGCTGACTTAGAGTGGGGTCTGGTGTAAGTGTTGGGCTATTGCAGCTGTGCTGACTTTGCTGGAGGAAGGGGTTTTGCAGCGGTCATTGAGCAGCTGCCCTCTTGCTCCCCTTCCTTTGGCAGCACGGGGCTGGTCCTGCTGCGGGTGAAGTGGCAGGTATGGAGGCACGTGAGGGAGAAGAACACAATCGCCAAGATCTTCCAGAAGACTGCGAAGAAATACCCAGAGAAGACAGCACTGATCTTCCAAGGCACAGGCGAGAGCTGGACATTCCGGCAGCTGGACGAGTACTCCAACCAGGTGGCCAATTTCTTCTTTGTCCAAGGCTTCCGCTCGGGTGACGTGGTGGCGCTTTTCATGGAGTCCCGCAATCAGTACGTGGGGCTGTGGCTCGGCCTGGCCAAGATCGGGGTGGAGACGGCCCTCGTGAATTCCCACCTGCGCATGGAGGCCTTGCTGCACTGCATCACCATCTCCAACTCCAAAGCTGTGGTTTTTGGGGTGGAGATGATGGAAGGTGAGGGGCTGGCAGAGGTTTTGGGGGTGCTTTGGACTGGGGGGAGGTGTGTCTAATCTATGGGTTCAGTGTTCCTTTCCTGCCCACACAGAACAGAGATCTGGAAGAAAGTGGACAGTTCAATCATCTAGGAATTAGATTTGGGGGTTTTTGTTGGTGGATACTTGGGACACTGGTCAGGATCTGGAGTGCAGTGCTGCCTGCCTCCCAGTCAGATCAGCCTGGGTGTGAGGATCCTTCCTTGGGGCCCTCGGGTCCCTTCCTGGCGTGGAGCCCTGGGCTGGGCTGGGCTGGGCCTGCCCCACTGCGCTGGAGGAGCCTCCCCTTGCTCTTGTGGCTGTTGCCACATCCCTGCAGTGCCTTGGCTCCAGCTCCTTGTGTGTTTTAGCCCACACCTCTGAGYTGATGGTGTCAACAGAGCTCTTGGCACCAAAGAGCTTTTGGATGGGGAAAGATGGAGAACAGGATCTTCTGGTCCCTGAAGAGGTCTGGGCTGTGGCCCCAGCATCTGTTAATCATGGGAACAACATCTGCCTGGAATGGCTGCGAGCCCTTTGGGGACTCTGCCAAGCACAGTGCGGGTACTGCTACCTGGGGCAGTGTGTGGTACTGACTGGGAGGGCAGCAGGTCTCTGTGCCGTAGCCACCCTGCAGCCTTTCTCCAGTTYCCCTCTTTACTTTCTCAGCAATGCAGGAAGTGCAGCCCTCCCTGGATAAATCCGTCCATCTCTTCTGGTCTGGGGAAGAAAGCCCTGAATCCGTTCTTCCTGGGTCGAAACACCTGGACCCCCTCCTGCAGATGGCCCAGCGACACCAGCCAGCYCCCCCTGATAAGGGCTTTCTTGGTATGTGGTCAGCTCCTGGGGTATGGGGCCAGACCTGTGGTGGTGATTTTGTGGATCGGCCAGTTACTACTCTGGAAAGATTGTCTGCTGGGGATGCCAGTGGCATGGGGTGTTTGGGATGGGTCCTGCTCCRGTTGGAAGCCTAACTCGGTGTGGAGCAGTATTTTGTACCTTCCCTGATCTGCCTGGGATGATCCCAGCATATTCTTGGAGCTGTTACCTGAGAGTAGAGTGTTTCAATTTTGCTTGTCCCCCTCTCCTGGTTTGGCCTAGGATTGGGAATGTGACCCAATCTTCTGGACTGGGAATGTGACCCTGTGTCCTCATTTCTCCCCAGATAAACTCTTCTACATCTACACCTCCGGCACGACRGGGCTGCCCAAGGCTGCCATTGTGGTGAACTGCCGGTAAGGCCACAGACAGGGGCTTGGGAAGGATGGGGCTGAGCTCTGCCCTCTCCYAGCACAGCACCCCTGACCCTGCTCCTGATGTGCCTCTTCACCTTCCCCTCAGGTACTTCCGCATGTCCAGCTTAGTTTTTTACGGTTTTCGGATGAGATCTGATGATGTGATGTACGACTGCCTCCCGCTCTACCATGCTGCAGGTAATGTGTGCATTACCCTGGTATCCTTGGACTGACTCTTGCCTCAGCCAGGCCCAGGGCTCGGGCTGGAGGCTGGTGAGGCTGTGATCTTCATGTCGAGGAGGATCTGAGTGCTGCTTGCATTGTGTGATGGAGATTTTCTGCTTTTTCCCCGAAGCCAAGAATCGATCTGTCTGACCTTTGGAGTGGGGAGTGTGTGGGGAGGGCATTATCCTACCCTGGTTTTGGACTAGCTGTTCCTTATTGCTGCTCCCTGAGAAAACTAATGGAGGAAAGACTAGGGGGAGGGGAAACAGTGCCTGCCTGTGTGGCTGAGATGTGCTGGGATGTTTAGGTGCAAAGTGCTGCCCTACATGTTACTGCCACGTGTCTCCTCGCTTGTGCCTGTGGTCCAGGGGGCTTTGGCTGTGTGAAGCCCCACTGCTGTGAGCCAGCCATGGACTCTGCCTTGCCCTGCCAGTTCTTTCCCCAGGTGGGCTGGGCTGGAGGTGTTTGGGGACTGAGGGCTTTCCTGGCTGCCTCTCTGCAGGGAACATCGTGGGGATCGGGCAGTGCCTGCTGCAGGGCATGACGATTGTCATCCGCAAGAAGTTCTCGGCCTCACACTTTTGGGAGGACTGTGTGAARTACAACTGCACGGTGAGGCTGTGAGGCAAGGGGCCAGCTGGGAGTGGGGACAGAAGCCTGGGTGTCTGTGCCATGCTGGGGAAAGCCCAGCTCCTGGAAGTGGGGGACGCCTGGAGCAGTTCTGTCAATCCAAGCCACCTTTCAAGGTGGTGAGGCTGTGTCCTTCCTACCTGGGCTGGTAATTYCATGTGTCCTCRTGCTCCAGCATTAGCCAGGAGATASTGGATGTGTTTCACAGCCTGGAGAGGTGGGTTAGCCCGGGAAGAACAGGTTGAATGAGTTAGCAGACCTTCTGGTTTTTATTGCGGCCTCTTTAGCAAACTTAGGGTGTGTTGTGCTGTTCCTTCCTACCCCGAAGAAACCTCAGACAAGCTGGGGCCTGGCAGAGGGGTCCTAGTGAGTCTTTCCTCTCCGTTGCTCCCAGATCGTGCAGTACATCGGGGAGATCTGCCGCTACCTGCTGAACCAGCCGTACCAGGACGCCGAGCGGCAGCACCGGGTGCGCATGGCCGTGGGCAACGGGCTGCGGGCCTCCATCTGGAAGGAGTTCATGGCCCGCTTCGGCATCGCCCAGGTGGCCGAGTTCTATGGRGCCACCGAGTGCAACTGCAGCCTGGGAAACTTTGATGGCAACGTAAGTCCCCACAATCCTTCATGCCCCAAAGGGTGACAGCTGGCCTGGGCGGGGTTGGAAACACAAATGGGCTGTTTGCTCCTTGGCATGGGKGGCCATTCACCCCTCTGTGGTGTCCTGGGAGTGTGTGAGCAGTGGGTTCAGGTGGAACACGTGTGCTTGCTACCCACAGCTCTGAGCTCTTTCTGTTCCAGGTTGGGTCATGTGGCTTCAACAGCAGGATCCTACCAGGTGTGTACCCCATTGGTTTGGTGAAAGTGGATGAAGACACCATGGAGCTGATCCGGGGACCAGATGGTGTCTGTATCACCTGCAAACCAGGTGAGGACACCACAGGGATAAAATCTCAGCCCTGTGTGAGTGTTTCATGATACATCCAGTTAATTTCCCTGGGTTTGTCACTGCTCAGTTAAACCCCACCAACCCCATTAGACATGCTTTTTGCTTAGGGGGTGGGGGTGGTGGTTATGTTTTCCCCCCTTCATCCCCTCTTCTCGCTGCAGGGGAGCCGGGGCAGCTGGTGGGTCGCATTGTCAAGAGCAATCCCCTGCAGCACTTCGATGGYTACCTGAATCAGTCAGCCACCAACAAGAAAATTGCCAGGGAYGTGTTTGCAAAAGGGGATGCTGCCTATCTCACAGGTGAGGCAAGCAGGACTCCTCKTTCCACTGGGAGTAAAGAAGGGCACCTATATGGGACTGTTCCAGGGTAGCGCCACTGCCCTGAGAAGCTCCAGGGTTGCTCCTAGCCACTTTGGCACCTCATTTTTTTCCTMTTCCTTGCTCTCCTGTAGGGGATGTCCTGGTGATGGACAAATATGGCTACATGTACTTCCGAGACCGCACCGGGGACACATTCCGATGGAAAGGGGAGAATGTCTCCACCACGGAGGTGGAGGGAACGCTGAGCCGCATCCTCAACCTGACAGACGTGGTGGTTTATGGTGTGGAGGTCCCAGGTAGCTGAGAGGGAAGGGGACAATCAGAGGAGGCAGGCAGGCCTCCAGCACTTGAATGTGAATATGTCCTGCATGTCCAGATTGATGTGTCCTTTAACAAGAGAGTGGACTGGGGTTCCCTGTGGCTGAGCTGGGAAGAGACCACAGGGATGAGGCTGGCAGTAACCAAAGGGTTTCCTCACTCTCAGACTTTGGTCTTGATTCTGGCTGGTTTGTAAAGACCCTGTGTCCTTCCTGGCCRTGACTGTGACCACAGGGTGTCACTGGTAGCCCTTGCCACAGGGTGGGGACACAGCAGTAACACAGCTGAACCTGCCAGTGCTTCAGTACAAAGCAGGTCTTGCTGGTGCTGGGCAGAGGGGAGATGATGCTACAGGGACAGTGTGTCTGAGTGCTCTTYCTTCTGTGCCTCTTAGGGATTGAAGGAAGGGCAGGAATGGCAGCCATCGCCGACCCGGACAACTCSTGTGACCTGGAAGACTTTTCCAGCAAGCTGAAAAAGGCCCTGCCACTSTATGCACGTCCCGTCTTCCTGCGGTTCCTGCACGAAGTCTCCAAGACAAGTGAGCCATGGCATGCACACTCACACTGGACATGGATCTGGGGGAGCCTGGGTGGGGGTATCCTGGTTACAGAAATCAGTCTGTAGGGTGGAGATGGAGCCTCTCTGCCCCACAGAGCCCATGGCCAGTTCCTCAGGTGGTTTTGAGGCATGGGGATGCAAAGTGGGGTTTGGGGCAGCACAGGTGTGGTGGGGATGGACATGTGTGTGGCCAGTGAGCCCCTACTCCTTCTTCTCTCCCCATTTCAGGCACTTACAAGTTYCAGAAGATGGAGCTGCGGAAGCAGGGCTTCGACCCCGCCCTGGTGAAGGACAGGTTGTATTTTCTGGACTCCAGGCAAGGCCGTTACCTGCCGCTGGACCAGGCAGCGTTTAGCAGGATCCAGTCGGGAGACCAGAAGCTGTAACCGGTGGGGCTCAAGCAAGGCACCTTCCAAATCCTGCTGGGAAAAGGGGGCAAGGCAGGCACTGGGGAAAGAAAGATTCATGGAGTGATACAACGGCACGCTAGAGATTTTATTTGACGAGTTTTACAGATAAGGGTTTGGGRGTAACACAGAGGGGACTGAGGGGAGGGGGATGGTCACATACCAAAGCATTGACTCATTATGGCTTTATTTTCTACTTGGTACCATGGTGGTGGTCTCATGCCACAGGAGGGGCRGGGCCCTGGCCAGTTGAGGAGGGGTGGGGTGCCCCTGCCATTCCACTTTGCTTTTCCTGTCTTTCCCTCCCTTCTCCTGCCTGCAGCAACCCTTCCTTGCGAAGTCCATGAAGGGACCGGTGCTGGGCTCTTCCCCACTCCTCTACCAAGTAGCCAGCTCCTCCTTGGCACAGGGACCGTGCTGGCAGAGGGAAGCTGGGTGCCAGGCGCAGCCCCTTCCCTCTGCATGGCCCTGCTGGTGTTGTGTGTCTGCTGTGAATCAGGGGAGCAGGGTAGTGTTGGGCTCAGGAAGGGGGCAGGGGTGTGTTTCTACCATGCCTTTCTCTCTCCTGGGGATGACATTTCTATTTTTCACAATCACACGCACATTATATTATATATATATATATTATACACTCTTACTTTTTTTTTTCAATCTTAATTTATTGTCTGTACTTTTGAATGTGTCCCGGGTTTGTGCAGTAGGTGGAGGGATAGCCCAGACCTGTCCTCTCTTGGAGAATTCTTTTCTCTCACAGGGAGATGGGATGCTCWTCTGGGACTGATTCTCCTCTTCCAGCGTGGGTGCAGCTGTATATGTCCTTGTGGCCTTGCTCCATGGTGGAGGACATGAGCAAATCCCACTGTCTTGTGGACACTTCTCTGGGTCTTTTATTTCCATCTTTCGTGGATGCAGCATTGTTCTGTGGACCTTCTTCCTTACAGAAAGCAAGTGGGAGAGTGGGAAGAAGGGCCGAATTTGCCTTTGCTTAGATGCACTCAGCACCACGGAGCAGCTCTCAGGGCTTTCCTGCCATGATGTCAGTGTCCTGAACAGGGGAGGCAACTTGCCTGGGGAGTGAATGTCCTCTGGAGGGTGGCCTCTGTGAGAGCCTGACTTCATGTGCTCTGCATCCCTTCCCAAAAGAGCCCTCCCTGTCTCCAGCGCCAGAGCAGGGCCCTGAACTGAAATGTCCGTGTGAAACACCTGACTTGTGCTATGTGAATTCCCCGTGTTGTGTCTGATGTGAAACAGCCTCAGCAGCGATGTCCGATTCCAGTCCTCGGAGAACATGCAGAAATGTCTCTTCCAGAGAAAACTCTGGGTTGGGGTTTCTTTTTTTTTTTCTTTTTTTTTTTCTTTTTTTTTTTTTTTTTTTTTTTTTTTTTTTTTTTTTTTTTTTTTTTTTTTTTTTTTTTCTTTTAGCAGGGTTACTCCTTAAAAAAAAAGTCTGTCTTTTGTGAGGGCAGGGTGTGTCTGCTCTTCTAGCTGTGCTTCCACACCAACGTACCTGCCTGCCCCAGTCTGTCCCRGTCTCACAATTAAACACGAGTATGGGTCTATGCTGGAGTTTCCTACCTCTTCCTTGTACAGTTCTGCTCTGTGAGGGAAGGYGAGRGACTGTKCTGGTTTGGGAACAGCCAYTCCAGAGCATCACCACCCTGTGTGYATKTTGGCTCATCTTGGACCAGGGGGAGCAAGCCCCTTGCTGCTGTGTGAACACAACATGCTGACCCACCCCAGTTCCCTCCATGACTCCCTAGTGGTCCTTGCTCCTTGTCCTGTCCTCAGCATTGCCATCCCAGTTTGTTCTGGCCCAGTTCTCCCTGTTTACCCTGGGACTTCCGGCTCTTCTACCCCTCTCCTGTTCTTTCTTTCCTCTTCCCATTGCATCTCCCTGTGTTTGTCCATGCTGAACTTCCAGCTCATTTCTGCCCTTTCAGACAAGTGTTTTGGTAGCCATTCCACTTCCCTTGCTGCCGAACCATCTTCTAGACCTTCTGCATCCGACCCTGACAACTGGAGAACCTGTCTCCTTCTTGGTATGTGGCTGCCACGGACAAATACCTTCCATGAGCCTGTGTGAAGTGTGCTGTCTGGTGAAACACACCATAACAAAAATGCCCGAAATTTGCATCCATAATATACCAGCTGCACCTCTGGCCATGTTCAAATGGATGTCTTCTCCATCATCTCTAAGCTATAAGCTTTCATTTTTGTTTTTCAATCCCTGGACGTTCACCAGCCTCTATCCCAAAGCTGCCGGTGCAAAACAGACCTTACCCCCACAGCCCTGCAGCACCAGGGGAGCTCAGCTCTCAAACTGGGTGGCTTTGCCTGGAGAGTCATATTTAGGGGCCGGGGAGCTGGTGCAGGGGGTGCAGCCGTGGTGCCTCTGCAGGTGCTCTGCTCCCAGTTTTGGGCTCTGTTCCGCTCGCAGCCACCAGAGGAGGGCAGGCTGGGCTCAGCAAACGCCTCTCCTCGGGGGGACGCATTGTAGGGGCTCCCGGGGCTTTCACAGCCCTCGTGTGGCGTTCAGAGCATTGGAAGCATGGAATGCTGGAGCAGGGGGGTTACCCACGCAGGGAGCCGCTCAGACCCTGCCTGAGATGAAGTTTCAGATACAGATTATGGTGCTGGGTGTGAGGCCAGCGGCAATCCCAGGCACTGGTGTCCACTGTTCTCGGGATCCTGGCCAGAGGCTGTGCCTGATGGAGACTTGGGCAGCACCGAGGTCACCGAGCTGTGCCAGGTKGGTGCTGGGCAGCGACCTGACCCTCTGAGCCTCATCCAGCCCTCTGCTAAAGGCAAGGAGGAAAAGCTTGGCCATGCTGAAGTCCAACCTGGTGGTGGTCATCTGGAGATGCGTGGTTTGGAGTAGCAGAGGAGGATGCAGGACTGTGTTCCCTCCCTGGAGAAGATGGATGTTCTGAAGAAAGAGCAGTTGTAGGGCAAAGCTCAGCCATGTGTTTCTGTCTGTCTGAGAGCAGGGGTAGATTAAAAAAGCCAAGGAAATTATGCATTCAGGGCACTGCCTGTTAAACACAAATGCGAATAGCTTTGTAAGCTTATGGAGGTTGGCTGTTACTTGTTCACAAGTGAGCCCATACAAGTGGAGACTGGCTCGCATTGTTGGGTTTTGGAGATGGATGGGAATTATAGGCCTGTGAGAGGAGCAGGATTTAGCCCTTGCTGGTACCAACACAAGTCAGGAGCTGAGCCCTGGGTGGAGCAAAGCAGGGAGCTCACCCCAAACCCTGCATTCCTGGCTGGCTGTGAGGAGGGGAAGCTGCAGGGTACAGGCAAGAGGAGCAGGATAAGGGCCCCGAGGTGAGAGCTCCTGTCCTGGGAAGAGAGGAGGTGCTGAATCACTGGGAAAGAGCTCAGCAAACGGCGTGGAGGGCTCTGATATGCTGCCCATCGATAGCAGAGACCTGCAGTGCTGTGCTGGAGGGCTGGGGCATGCACATACCACCTACAGCTCTGTACCAGAGGATTTCCCAGGGAGAGGGGAACTTCGGGGATGTGTGTTCACAGCTCTGAGCTATGCTCAAAGGAGCCCCCCTGCCCGGCAATGCTGGTGTTGGGAGGTTGGTCCCCACTGCAGATCTGGTGCCCGGGGACAATTCACTGTTGGTGCTGACTGAGGATGGTTGTGTCGCACTTGGCAGTGCTTCAGGATTCCCTGAAACACCCAGCYACAGCAATTAAAGGTTTTCCGCTGGCTGTCAGCTTTGGGTTGAAATYCTGGAACCTTTCTAAAATCCCAGCTCCTCTGGAAAAATGAAGCCTACGTGCAAATGTCCCTGCATCTCTTGGCCCAGAAATACAAGTGCAGGTGTGGTACTGAGCCTGGGGTCAATGCTGAGACACAACACTTCCAGCAGAGAGGTGTTTGGAATGAAGTAGCTGCTGTTTAATCATAGTCTGACTTTTAAAAATATCTTTTTATTTGTACAGTTTTAAAGAAGAGGCTAATTGAATCCTCTATGATTAGAGACACCTTGTGAGACATCCCTCCCCTTTGATCAATGCACTAGTCTGGCTCAACAGCTGCATGTAGATAAAAGTCCTATACATACAGTGAGAGGTATTATTCTTTTTTAATTAAAACACTTAAAATTCTGTTTGCATGAGGTTAAGAAAACATTAAAATCCTTTCCAGGGCTATTATCAAACTGTTAATTTAAGCAAAGCCAAAGAGCTTTACAAACCAAATGTACTCTTCCCCATGGAGATGACTGCTTCTCCCAGGCCCTGTGTCCTRGACAGTGACAATAATATCAAGACAAAAAACGTGGCAACTTTCTTTTTGATCATCATCTCCTTCCATCTGTAGGTCCAGCCCAGCCAGGCCGTGCTTGGTGTGCAAAACTGGAGTGTATTTTAGTCCTAATGCAGGTGGGCACTTTGCAAGCTGCTCRGGACCTTTCTGGGTGAAATTAATTTCTGCTGCTGAGAAAGTCTGTGACAATCTTCAATGCTGCATCTCCCCAGCCTCCTCCTGCCACTCTTGGTGTGCCACAGCCTTCCCAAACAATGACAGCCACTTGCTGCTCCACATGCTGGGGAGCTGGCTTTGCCTTTAAGCAGCGACAGGGAAATACTGTGGGCCAAAGAAGAGACTATCCTTTAGTGCACTCTTTAGAAATGGAAATAGTTGATTCCCCTGAGTGGTTCCAGTGTAACCAGGAGCAGGGACAGGAGTGGCTTCTCCCTGTCCAGTCTGAAKGGGCTGCGTGGCTGGGGACTCCACCAAAATGATGGTCTGTGAGAGGGAAGGGACAGCAGCTTTCCTTCCCAAAGCAGAAAGGTTTCAGAAGGGAAGCAAATGTCCTTRGGGCTGTTTGCTGCTGGACAGCACAGGATGGCTGGGCTGTGCAGCTGAGGGAGGCTCAGGGAGCAGGGATGGGTCCTGCTCTGCTTTCTTTGGGCCTGGCCCATTTCAGAGGCAAATCCCACTCTACCAAATAACCTTGGGTTTGATCTGCTTTTCTCCTGGTTCATTAAAACCATGACAGCAGGCCAGACTGCGGGAGAACTTTGGGCAGTGGGGATCATGTGKCACAGGCTGACAATCCCAGGAATCTCAAGCAATGGTGATGCTGTCCAGGTCCAGGACATATTCCTGCTCAGGATGGRGGGGTCATTGCCCAGATCTTCCCTGATCCCTGACAAATGATCCCAGTTTTGTGAAGTGGGATATGAGCCCTGCTGTGCCGCATAACCCCTCTTGGTTCCAGCCCCGCCTTCCCAAGCCCCATCCTTGCGGGTGCRGAGCAGCTCTCCCAGAGCCCCCAGCATCCTGCCAGCCCAGGCGGGAGCTGGAGGTGACACCTGGAGGTGACACCTCCCACGACYTGCACAGGGGTGTGCCAAGGGGCCTGAGGAAGCGAGGGCAGCCAGAGCCTTCCTCCTGCCTCCGGCCATCCAAGTGGCCTCCGGCTCGGCCGCAGGAAGAGGCTAACAGCGGCGGGCGAGCCACCCCCTCAGCTTTGAGTATCACTTTCAGCTATTCTGAAGGTTAAACGCCTGTTTAGAGCTCCCTATTGAAGGTAGAGCCGGGGGTGCGGCATTGTTCGGACGCCCTCCCGCTTTGTCTGGCCGCTTTCAGGGATGCCCTGAATGGGAAGCGGCCCCCCCAGCCCAGCCCAGCACCCCGGCAGAAGGGCTCCCGGGGGAGAGGCGCTTCCTCCCGCCCTAATGACATTCAGGCCTCCATCGGTTCAGCTCCCGCTTTCTTTCTGCTGCAGTTTAACCCGGGCACAGAGGCCGGGCTCCATCTTACTGATCTCTGCTTGACACCCAATTACCACATGAATGGGAGAGAAAGGCTGCAAAAGGCTTTAACTCCCACTGACCCTCCTTCCCCTCTGCCTGCTTCCCCCTCTCCCCGTCCTACCCCCTCGCCTTTCTCCGGCGGAGGGAGTTCAAAACTGAGACGGGGAAATCAAACAAAGCCCCGAGTAAGGAAACCCATTGTCACCGCCTCCGCGATGGCTCCCCTTTCGCCAGCTATTGTTCCCCTTGAAGTTTGACTTGCTGTGTGGAAGGATGCGAGCAGCTGTTTGCGCATTCCCCTGATGTTTTATTGAAAAATAATTGAATCGTCAGTTCGGGGCTCTCTGATAAAATGTTTCCTCGTAGCGCTAGGCCCTGGTGTATTTATAAACTGTGTTTCCCCGTAGGATGTGATGGCGATCTGAAACGTTTCCTCCAGAATAAACCCTCGGTGGAGGGATGGAGGCATGTTCCTTCTGCACTCAAGGGGAGAGAGAAATCGTGCAAATGGCAGGGAAAAAACAGAAGCCAGGAGTGAGACAAAAGAAATTAACCCCTCTTYATTGCCAGGCTCAGTTTCCAACCTGTTCCCTTTGTCTGGCGCAGTTGGATTTGTGGGAGGGGAGCGGTGGGAGCAGCCGGAGCCCCTGGTCAGCAACCCGAGTGAGCACCAGAGCTACCTGGCTTTTCTGTACCCGTCTATCAAACACTGTCCGTGTTTGCAGCACTTGAACAATGCCGGCATTACATTTTCTCKAAGAGGTTGTGTGCTTGTTTTCCCCATCCCAAACATATCCCAGAGAATTTGTGGTGCTCTGATTTCAGCACGCAGCATGGAGACAGGACTCACTCCTCTCCCAAGCACACAATGTCCATAAAAACGTCCCCCGTATCTCATGTGGTCACTGTTTGTCCAGGACAATTGTTAACAGTAACCAGCTCTGAATGCTTGAATGAGCCAAATTGGTATTTATGATTACTGTTCCCTTTCTTGTAATTTATTTTTGCTTTTCCAGGGAGGTACTAACACTAAATCTGTAACATTTTGTTGTGTAAGTCAGGAATCAAAATTCTTTTAGGAGCTAGTTCTGCTTTTATTTGGCCTCATAAATGATTTCTGGGAGCAAGGAGAATAGCTCATATAAAACCATAACTGCRAACACTGATCTGGAACCAAGATTACCAGATCTTCTGAACACAGAATGCTCCACTCAATTCTGAAGTGAAGATTTTTGTCAAACGCTTTTTTTCCCAGCTGCTTTTCCATACAATTCCATCCTGGKCYGTATCTCCGAGATACTAAAATGCCCTGGGATTTGGCGATATTTAAAATCCAGCTGGAATTTTTGGATGAAGACCACGGTCAACAGCTTCACGGCTCTGCCATCACGTAACCCCGGCAGCGATTGCAGCATTCATYTGCCGGAGGGACCGGCCTTTCCTGGGGCCCAGCCCGGAGAATGATCTCCTCGGAGAACAAAAGGCCATTACAAACACCACCACCTTCTGCTCCCGGGGTTAGGCGTACTCTGACCCCCGTTAGCATAAACGAAGAGCAATCTGTCTGTGTAAATTTATGCCCCTTACACATAATGCATCATGTATATGCATAGCTGTTACATTTCTATGTGCATGTGTGCACGCGTACGTGTATTTTTTAAACCCGAACCCTCTGCTGAGTGGAGGGAGGGTTTACAGAGCTGCAGTTTTTCTACCAGTGCTGCCCCTGTGCAGCTCCATGTTGTGGGGGAGAAGCACAGCCCAGCTGTCACCGCCGTGGCTGCGTCCTGCCTGTGTACACGGGCCTTCTCTGGGGACAGCAGGGGAAAACAAACAGGCGACAGATGTGAGCCGCGTTGTTTAACGCTGTGCTGGGGGTGCCTGGCGCCGTGGGGATGTGCTGGCTGGCAGGGACTGCCCGAGCARGAGGGGATGCTGAACAGCCACCCCTGATGCAGAGCTGCATCTTCCCGRTGCTGACAGGAGCTGTCGTCAGCATCACCCGGCTGTTTCTGGTCCCCCACAACAGTCCCAATGAGCTGCGAGGCAGCAGGTTGGCATCACAGAATCACAGAATTGTAGGGCTGGGAGGGATCTCTGAGATCATCCAATCCGACCCCCCCGCCAAACGCAGGGTCACCTGGAGCAGGTGAAACAGGAACGCATCCAGGAGGGTTTGGAATGTCTCCAGAGAGAGAGAGAGACCCTCACACCCTCCTTGAACACCTGTCCCAGTGCTCTGCCATCCTCAATGTAGACAAGTTCTTCCTCATGTTGAAATGGAACTTCTTGTGTTATAGCRGCTTTGCTGCTGGGAAACCCCCGATGGGAAACCTGTCTGCAGCTCTTGCCTTTGTGCAGCCCAAGTGCTTTGAGCAAAAAGAGCTCTGTGTGCGTAAAAGGGGTTCTGTGCGYGGTGAAGCCTGAACTTGGTGCAGAAATCGGTGTTTTAAAATAAGACCGCCGGGGGCACGGGCCGCGCTGCCCGCCGGATCCCGGCCCTCCGGGAGCTTCTCCGGGGGAGGAACAGGAGCAGGGCGAATGGGGCATCTCCCCATTCCGTGGGAGGAACAGGAGCAGGGAGAACGGGGCAGGAGGGATCCGGACCGCGAGCAGAGGCCCAGACGGGGCCGCCCCATCCTCTCCCGCCGTTGCCGGGGCAACGCGGCGCGGCCGGAAGTCTTCCGCGGCACTTCCGGCGCGGCCCGCGCGCGCCGCCCCTCCCTCGCGCCCGCCGCTGCCAAGATGGCGGCGCCCGTGTCGCTGCAGGTGGAGTTCGGGTGAGCGCGGGCGGCGGCGGCGGCGGGGCCGGGGACGGAGACGGGCAGAGGGCAGGGCAGGGCCGCGATGGACCGCGATGGGCCGGCCTCCCGGTGAGGCGGCCGCGGCATTGCGGCGGGGCGGTTGTTGCGCGCGGCCTGCGGGGCCGTTACGGGCGCGTCTAGGCCCGGGTGCCGCCGCTGTCACGGCGCTGCGGGCCGGGATTGCGGGAGCTGCCGCCCCCGGGGAATCGGGGAACCAGGCACTGGCGGGAAGGGCCGAACACCACCGGAGCGTGTCCGCCACGTGAGGCCGAGCCGCCCTGCCCGTCTGTCGCGGGGCCTCGCTCTCGTCTCTGTGAGCGTCCTCYGCCAGGCCTTTCTTTACCTTTCACCTCTTTCAACCTTTTTGAGTTGTTTGGTTTTTTAATTTTAATTATTAAAATTATTTATAAAAACTTCCCCTTCGTTTCTCGGCCTTTTTTTTTTTTTCTCAGCACTGTCTGTGTGTGTGTTTGTGTGTGTACACGTGCCCTCACTGTGCTTTGTGTTTGAGCCGTGTCAGGACTGTAAAGCTGCCAGGTCTTCACTCTGTAGCATTTCAGTTTCCAGGCCTTTGCTGCTGTAGTATCAGCATTGCTCACGCTCTGGCCCTGGGATCTTAAAGCATTTGCAGTGGAAGCTGTGCATATTTGTGGAAATACTTGTGTTATTTCGTTAAAGCCTCCTTTTAGCAGAAGCTAAAAGGCTGCTATTTATTCGCTTTTTCCCACCCTTTCACGAACACAGAAATGCCATAACCCTTTAAATGCCCCTCTCCTTAAGAATCCTTTCCTCTATCTTTCCCGCTTCCAGCTGCAGCAACTCTCCTAATTTTCCCAGAAGAGTGAGATGCATTTTTGCTTCCCTTGGAAATGCATAAATGAGCTCTCTATGTAGGAACCACAGCTGAGTTCCCCACAGCTCGCGCCTTACAGAAGGACCTTATCTTGCAATCTACATTTCCCACTGTAACAAAGCGTGACCTTGTTTTCATTACATGAAAAAATGTTTTTCATATAATTGTTGTGACTTGTTCCCTCGCATGAATCTCGGCTCATGTTAATAATCACTGCTTCAATTTTGAGATAACTATTTGTTGTGAGCTGGTGGAAGAACACCAACAGAGTGCTCTTTAGGAGAGTTACTGCATATAAGTAATGCTGCTGAGGGCAAAACAAGGGTTCTGTTGTGCTTTGCCATTGCAGAGCCAAGAAAACCTACTGTGGCATTTTTAGATAGTGAATTTAAAGGAACTTGGTAACGTCTRGAAGTATCTTTGTTGATATTTAGGTGGGCATTGTTTGTTTTAAATATTTCTCTTTATTGTGTTGGTTTCCAAGGGAGGAGAGGCACCACGAAGTTCCCAGAAAGTAAATTCATAGGACAATTTTTCTTAATAATCTGCATTTCAGTTGGAAGAACATTTTGCCACAGTTATATGCCCTTTGAAAATGGKTTGGTCATTTTCCTACCTTAGTTGAATATTAAGTGAATTGAGTTTTATAAGCATTTTCTAGTTGTTGAAAATTTGGAGTAGAGTGTAGGGTTCAGTCTAGAGTCAAATGCTCACACCCTCTGCTGCTGTGTCCTGTAACTTAAAGTAGCTTTTGTGTTTGTTATCCATGTGTGTCCCTACTCACATGGCGAAGTTTTATAATTTAAGACAGAGCTGGCCTGTGGCCTTACAGCGTTATGAAAACTGATTGATGGTGGTAAAGCTCAAAGTTTTCACAGCTGTACTTTTTCCAGAACAGAAGCAAAAGTGAGTAGCTTGCTGAGTCTTCTAAGTTGCACTTACAAAAATTAATTACTTTTTGAAAGAGCCTAAGATTAGGTGCCTGGACCCAGTTCAAATTCCATTCTTTTCCAGTGTGAGGACCAGCTCCTTTACTTGCCAGCCTTGGCATATCCTGCTCAAACCCCATCTCCTGTGCTTGACAAGGCCATCACTTGTTATCTGAGGGTATTCCCTAATGTCTTCCAAGGGTCAGAAGAGGGATGAACATCAGGTTGTTCAATGGAGGAAGATTGTGTATTTATTTATTTATATATTGTMATCTTCATCTCTTGCTTCTCACAGTCAAGTGTCCTTCTGGGACATGTTGTAGTCAGTAGATCAAGAAAGAGTTGTCAGGATTCTCAGGCTGCTGGCTCTGACTTGATCTGTAACCTCATGTGAGTCATTTCCCCTCTCTGTGTGATCACACATGGAAACTGAGSGATTATTTATTCCAGAAGGATGCTCAATTTTGAGACTTCTGGCTAGCAGGTGTTGGGGATGAGCGATGCTGGCCATGGTGTGGCGGCCGTAGCATTGTTTGGGTAGAAGCAGTGCTGGTGGCTGGAGAGGGAAGGCAGTGCTGCACAGTGGTTTGGGAGCACATGGAGATGGGAACCATCCTCCCGTTCTGTTGGGATGATGCCTGGCACCGTGGGGTTCTGGCCCACAGCAGAGCCTCCTCTCTGTGCTGGCAWTGGGAGCTGGCAGCTTCCCCTATGAACTTGTGGTTTGTGAGAGGAAAAAACAAGACAAAGGGAATCCTGTRCTAAATATAGTCTGTGTCATTTGTTTTCTCTGTTGTGGCATCTATGTAAATCACCTCTTTTGTACTGTCTTCTTTTGACAATAAAGCAAAATCTCAGTGGTTCATTGTTTTTATTTCAGAGGTGGTGCAGAACTCTTGTTCGATGGTGTCAAAAAGCATCAGGTGACTTTGCCCTGTCAACCAGAGCCTTGTGAGTATCAGAACCTGTTGGATAACTTGACAGAATAACAACAAACGAAACAAAGCTGTTTTGCACAGTACTGTTAGTTGGCAGCTAGGATCAAAGTATTTTGAAATTTCTTTCAGACATGCCATAGATCAGGCAGCTTGGCAAACAGGGGTTACTTCTCAAAGTCTGAGCTCTTTTCTGTCCTCTAAACACTTCTGAATCAAGTTGTTCCTGAAGAATTTTGCCTTCCTCCTCCTGGATAGACAACAGCCTCTGGATGTTTCCATCAAGCCTACATTTATCTTTCTTGGTACTTGAAACCACCAATAACCTCCTCTCTCCTTTGTTTTTTCCTGCCTGTTCTGAGGTTTCCAAGAGGCACATATATATATATATATATATATATATATATATATATATATATATATATGTGTGTGTGTTTACGTGGTGTATAGATATGTGTGGGGCAATGTGAAGCAATATTAACATAAATGTTATTTAGCTATTCATTTGACTTTTCAAGCAAATGTGATAAATTTTAATATGAACTCTGCTGTTGAAAACAGCAAATGTAATACTCAAATGGGATGATGCTGGACATCCTGCCCATGGTCTTCCCTGCCATAAAAAACAGGAGTGTCCCAAGGATAAAGAGTCATAATTCCTGGTTTGCAATTTGGAATATCAATACTGAGTAATGCTGGACTAACTCACTTATTTGTGTGCATTCTTCAGTTGTAGTGTAATTTTGCCACAGGTATGTTCTGAATTTTTCCAGCTAGATAGCATTGCTTTTTGCTATTTGAGTGGGATTATAAACCAAAATAACACAAAGCCATCAGGGAATGTTAACAACCAATATCTCATGAGTGACTGATACCATAATCTATGTACTGGGAGCTTCCAGACCTGAAATCTTTTTGCTGTGCCTGGAATTAATTAGAGATTGGTAGAAGTGCTTTTGATGCTTGGACATAAGTATGTGTAATTCAAGTATAATAGGRGTGCTGGAATATTGTGTTATCTTGTGGTTAAGGACAGGGACTAAAGCTCCAGAAACATGACCTGATGCTGATTTGCTTTGTGAGTTAAGTCATGTTGCTTAATTTTCCCCTGTTGCTAGTGATACTTTCATGTATCACAAAAGAATTCAGCATTAAATTCCAGCACTGTTAAAGCACTTAAGATCCTTAAATGAAAGGTAGTAAAGAAATGTCAAAACACTCATACAGCTGGTTTATAAACTTGTGGGCTAGAGCATAATTTTCTTCAGTGCTCTGCAAATTTAAAGCACCCAGTAACACCCACTGCTTTGGTGCTGTTCAAACCAAGATCAGATGCTCAAGAAGAAGGGGTTATTGTAGGAGGTGTTTATTTCTGCCAGGGGAGGGTAGGGTATTRATATCAAAGAGGGATTCTTCCAGCCCCATGGTTGTCAGTGATGTAGTTGTACGTGGCCTGATCCATTCCCACTTGAAGCTGCTGGGAAGATTTCTGCAGCCTTGGTAGGATCTCTGTTTATCCTAAGGGATAAATCTCTCCCTGAAGGTCTGTCAGCTTCAGGGTTCAAACTCATGATCTCCAGTGATTCATTCCAGATTCAGCTAACACATTATTGCTCCCAGCTTTTCCTGCTGCCTTGTTTTCCAGATGCTGCTATCCCTGTGACAGGAGTGGCAGAACTGACAGTGTGCCCCCTTGCCAGCTCCCCTGGTTTGCTGCTGTCCTGTGCCTTGGCTGTCAGGGAAGTTTTGTTTTGGGGCTGCTTGTGGATTGCAGCATCTGAGGAGCATAAACTGAGCTGTGAGGCAGYTGCTGTAGTGATATTTACAGCCCACACAGGGATGGGGCAGGCAGAGGTGGCCTGAATTTCTGACAATAAAGGATTGCTGGAGACACCCCTCATGATACTTCCASAAGACAGTTACATTGTAGTGGTGAGGAATCAGTCGAATTAATTTAGAAACATATAAGTAAATTTGGTAAGTTCTTTAGATTTTATATTGTTCTTAATGCCATGTATTTCCCTTGTTCACACTAAGAAATTTTAAGTTACCTGTCTCCGGGTAAATAAAGATATATATATAGCATGTTCTCTGTTGCCCTTGTGCAGCCAAAATTGCAATGATTAGAGAAATAAAACAGCTCAGTTCTACTCRGCACATGCTGTTGCTTACCTTACCCTGAATGTCCATCACTGAATTCTCCAGGGAAAGATCCATAGTATGAACACTGCTTGAAGACCTGCACTTCTAACCCCATTTTAAGTGATTTGATTAGCTACCAAGCTTATTTTTGGCCGTTTTGGCCTCTCTTACCTAYTCTTCCTTTCTTTCTAGGTTATTTTTGTCTTTGTCCTCCTTTTTGCAGAACAGTTGCTTCTCTTTGGGATATTGGGCCCACCTATATTTTAATTGTTTAGGCATTTTTATACATATCCCAGAAGTTAAGGGAGATGGAAAATTATATGAAGAAATACCTAGAAATACTTATATGAATAAAACAAGCTGTGCTCCATGGTTGGCTGGGGTAATCAGCGTTTTCTAAATTATAATGTTGCTTGGGCAAATTCTTTATGTGGTCATTTCTTTTTTTCCTGGTGACAGGCAGTAGATGGAAAGTAGGTGGGTTTCAGATCCAGTTACCTTTTTCCAAAAGATTTGATTCTCTGTCCTTTTCTGATGCCTGGAGATGGACTCCTGGAGGGATTGGGAAAAGCAGAAGGAAGGAAGCTRCAAATGGGACAAGAGCAAGCCACGATGGGTACAGCCATGTGGCAGGACCTATTTTTATTATCCAAGCAGCATTGTATCCTAATGTCAGTTAAACAGCAGTTCTTTATTTCCACAGCAGAGCTCTCTCAGTCTGCATGTTGAAGTTACTGCCAAAGTWGGAACTTAGAAAGGTGTGGTATATATGCATAGACAGCAGATTTACCTAAGCCACACTTTGTGCAGGGCTATGTAATCTTGTAGAGCTGTTGCAGAAAGAAGACCTCAGATTAAACAAGAATCTTGTCCCAAATTTCTGGCTACTCTGATGATCTCACTGATAATGCTGTTAGAGGATCCAAAGGCATTATGCCCTGTTGGCTTCTTCTGCATAAAAACAGTGTGTGTGGGAGAAAGCAGCTGGGGGAATAACGATATTTGTCACATAGAGAGAGGATTAAATTGGCAGGGAAATCAACTTTATTTTCAAGCATCTAAGAGACTATTAGAGACAATGGAGCATAAAAGAGAGAAACCCTAGATTAAAAACCGAAAATGTATTTGGCAGCGTCCTCCTGAAACAAGCCACAGTAATTTAACCAAGTGCTTCAGTAATCAAATAGATCATTGTATGACTGCTCTGCAAGTGATGCCGGAGCTCGTTCCTCCATCTCGCTGGGACTCACAGTGGTGGATTTGTCTTGGCCMTGTGAGTTGTGTGGATGCTGTTGGAAGGGTAGGAAGTCACTGGCATTGTTTAACCCTTGTAGTCATTTCAGGTTTAGCTCGGCAGCATCTCTGATGAAGAGTGTTTACAAAACCTCTCTGCTGTGCTGTCTTCTGGATGTTGTACCCAGAGGCTGGGGCTGTGTATAAAGTCTCTGGCACTTKTGCTGCAGAATGCTCAGCTGCTGTCACAGACCTTTAAATTCCGGTTTCTCCTGTGGCTTCAGTGGAGGGACTTGTGTTTTTGGAGCAGCAGTGACCAGTTTCAGTGGTGCTCACTGGGACCTTCTGGGCTAATAAAGAATTCACACTTGTGTTTTGGCACTTTACAAGTCTGGAAAGTTAAATTATTAATCATTGTGTTTTGGTAATTGTTTGTGGTTTTCCTTTGCCAAAACCCTGGGGGGAAAAAGCCCACTGCCAATCACATTTTTTTTAGAAGAAAAATTAAAATAAAGCTTCCAAGTGCCGCTTATGTTGAATCCCCATAGAGAAGAGCATGGTGTGCTCCTCGAGAGCTTTGCTTTTCCAAGGGCCTTGTTCTGCACAGCATGGAGGACTKCTGGGGACTTGGGAGCATTCATCTTCTCGGAAAAGAGCCTGGGGATCTTGGGAGATCAGACCTGTGTTACAGGCAGGGTGGCTTACAAAATACAGCATGGCACGTGTTCAGAGTTGACTGGGTGCTGGGCCAAAATAACCTGTAAAATCCAGAGGAGCAGTTGTCGTGTGCTGTTGGTAAGTGCCCAGTGCTATTGCTGGGTAGTATGTTGTAGTTGAGTCATTAATATTCTGGCATGCTTTTATTGCTCTGTTTATTTTTCCTAAAATTTTAAAATTTGCTCCAAAKAAAGAATAAAAATATATTTCCTAATGTAGAGCTTATTAGAAGAATGATAAAAAACCCCCCATAGATCTATGGAACTTCATGCAGTCAAATCTTTTTAACCACAGCGTGCGGTGCTTGCAGTTCTCAAAGGGCTTGGGTTATTCCCTCCTCGTGCATCCCACTYGTGCATCTCTTTTAAGCAGGAAATTACAGATTTGGTGACAAGGGAAGGGGACTCAGGGGGTTACACAGGGTGGGAGTTCAGGCTGGGCCGGGTCGGGGTGAGCGGTGTTTGCAGCACCAGAGCTGTGGTGATGTCGCAGCGCTGCCGYGTCCCCATCGAGCAGTTCCTGGCGCAGGGCTCAGCTCCGGTCCCTGTTCCAGYGAGRCCACRGGTCCCTTTAGAGGGARCAGGGAAACAAATGTTTGTCCTCACAGGAGCAGCCCCATCACCCTCCCGRGAGGCCGTGGAGCCGCGTTASTGGCTCAGCTCATCCCAGCTCATTGTGGAAGGAGCTTCCCAGGCACTGGGAAACCAGCTCTTGTGTGTGACCAAATCCCTGGGATAACAAAGCCTGGCTGTTACACCCTCCTTCCCAGCCGCTGTATTGCAGTGCGGACACCTAGCAGGATAACCCCTCTGTGCCACCCCCCCTCGGCTCCCTCTTTTCTCTTGGTGGGATTTGCTGTGCTGACAGCGCTGTTCAGAGGGTGGCAGCGGAGCAGGGCTGGGGAGGAGGATCCGGGCCCTTTAA